GGGATTTCAATGTTCACTACCAATTTCTTCACCTTCACTCATGGGACGTGGACATCGCTGGCTGACCAGCATTTATTGCCCATCCCTAGTTGTCCCTTCAGCAGGTGGTGATGAGCTGCCACCTTGAGCCGCTGCTGTCCATGTGCTGTAGGTTGATCCACAATGCCCTTAGGGAGGGGATTCCACAATTTTGACCCAAGAGTGGCTCGGCAGCAGTACGACTGATCGAGCTGGTCGGGTCCTAAAGGACATCGCTGCTTGACTGTGTCTGAGGCAGGTGGTGAGGGAACCAACAAGAGGGAAAAACATACTTAACCTCATCCTTACCACCTGTCCATGACAGTATCGGTAAGAGTGACCATTGCACAGTCCTTTTGGAGACGAAGTCCCGCCTTCACATTGAGAACAACCTCCATCATGTTGTGTGGCACTATCACTGTGCTAAATGGGAGAGACTTCGCACAGATCTAGCAACTCAAGTCTGGGCATCCATGAGGTGCTGTGGGCCATCAACAGCAGCAAAATTGTACTCCAGCACAATCTGTAACCTCATGGCCCAGCATATCCCCCTCTCAACCATTAACTGATCAACCCTGGTTCAATGGAGAGTGCAGGAGGGTATGCCAGGAGCAGCACCAGGCATACCTAAAAATGAGGTGTCAACCTGGTGAAGCTACCAAACAGGACTACTTGCATACCAAACAGCGAAAGCAGCAAGTGATAGACAGAGCTAAGCAATCCCACAACCAACGGATCAGATCTAAGCCCTGCAGTCCTGCCACATCCAGTCGTGAATGGTGTTGGACAGTTAAACAACTCACTGGTGGAGGAGGCTCCACAATTATCCCCATCCTCCATATCAGTGACGGTTTGGGAAAGTATTTAATTGGTGGAGGGGGAATTATCATACTATCAGGCAAGAACTGCGGAGCATAAGTTGGGAACAGATGTTCTCAGGGAAATGCACAACAGAAATATGGAGGTTATTTAGGGAGCAGTTGCTACGAGTACTGGACAGGTTTGTCCCACTGAGGCAAGGAAGGGATGGTAAAGTGAAGGAACCTTGGATGACAAGACATGTGGAACACCTAGTCAAGAGGAAGAAGGAAGCTTACTTAAAGTTGAGGAAGCAAGGATCGGATAGAGCTCTAGAGAGTTACAGGGTAGCCAGGAAAGAACTGAAGAATGGACTTAGGAGAGCTAGAAGGAGATATGAGAAAGCCTTGACGGGTAGTATTAAGGAAAACCCCAAGGCGTACTATACTTATGTGAGGAACAAGAGGATGGCCAGAGTGAGGGTGGGGCCAATCAGGGATAGTGGAGGGAACTTGTGCGTGGAGTCAGTGGAGGTAGGGGAGGTCCTTAATGAATACTTTGTTTCAGTATTCACCAGTGAGAGGGACCTTGACGTTTGTGAGGACAGCATGAAACAGGCAGATATGCTCGAACAGGTTGATGTTAGGAAGGAGGATGTGCTAGAAATTTTGAAAACATGAGGATAGATAAGTGCCCTGGGCCAGACAGGATGTACCCAAGGTTCCTACAGGAAGCAAGGGAAGAGATTGCTCCCCCTTTGGTGATGATCTTTGTGTCCTCACTGTCCATTGAAGTAGTACCAGATGATTGGAGTGTAGCAAATGTTATTCCTTTGTTTAAGAAAGGGAATGGGGATAATCCTGGGAAATTACTTCTGTGTTGGGCAAATTATTGGGGAGGATTCTGAGAAATAGTATTTATGATTATTTGGAAAAACACAGTTTGATTAGAAATAGTCAGCATGGCTGTGTGAGGGGCAGGTCATGCCTCACAAGCCTTATTGAATTCTTTGAGGATGCGACAGAACACATTGATGAAGGTAGAGCAGTGGATGTGGTGTTTATGGATTTTAGCAAGGCATTTAATAAGGTTCCCCATGGTAGGCTAATTCAGAAAGTAAGGAGGCATGGGATTCAGGGAAATTTGTCTGTTTGGATATAAAACTGGCTGTCCAATTGAAGACAGAGGGTGGTAGTAGATGGAAAGTATTTAGCCTGGAGCTCGGTGACCAGTGGTGTGCCGCAGGGATCTGTTCTGGGTCCTCTGCTGTTTGTGATCTTTATAAATGACTTGGTTGAGGAAGTGGAAGGGTGGGTTAGTAAGTTTGCCGATGACACGAAGGTAGGTGGAGTTGTGGACAGCGTGGAGGGCTGTTGTAGGTTGCAACGGGACATTGACAGGATGCGGAGCTGGGCAAAGAAGTGACAGATGGAATTCAACCCAGAAAAGTGTGAAGTGATTCATTTTGGAAGGTCGAATTTGAATGCAGAATACAGGGTTAATGGCAGGATTCTTGGCAGTGTGGAGGAACAGAGGGATCTTGGGGTCCATGTCCATAGATCCCTCAAAGTTGCTACCCAAGTTGATTGGGTTGTTAAGAAGGCGTATGGTGTGTTTCATTGGCAGGGGAATTGAATTTAAGAGTCGCAAGGTTATGCTGCAGCTCTATAAAACCCTGGTTAGACCACACGTGGAATATTGTATTCAGTTCTGGTCGCCTCATTATAGGAAGAATGTGGAAGCTTTAGAGAGGGTGCAGAGGAGATTTACCAGAATGCTGCCTGGACTGGAGGGCAGGTCTTATGAGGAAAAGTTGATGGAGCTAGGGCTTTTCTGATTGGAGCGAAGAAGGATGAGAGGTGACTTGATAGAGGTGGACAAGATGATGAGAGGCACAGATAGAGTGGATAGTCAAACTTTTTCCCAGGGCGGAAATGACTATTACAGGGGGCGTAATTTTGAGGTGATAGGGGAGATGTCAGAGGTAGGTTCTATACACAGAGAGTGGTGGGTGCATGGAATGTGCTGCCAGCGGTGGTAGTGGAGTCAGATACATTAGGGACATTTAAGCTGCTCTTGGATAGGCACATGGATGAAAGTAAAATGAAGGGTATGCAGGGTAGTTTGATCTTACAGTAGGATAATAGGCCGGCACAACATCGTGGGCTGAAGGGCCTGTGCTGAGCTGTGCTGTTCTATTTTCAGTGCAAATGATGAGACAGAAGTATTCGCAGCAATCTTCAGCCAGAATGGATGATCCATCTCAGTGTGCTCCTGTGGTCCCTACCGTTATAGATACTAGTCTTCAGTAAATTCATTTGACTCACATGATATCAAGAAACGGTTGGAGACACTGGATACTGCAAAGGCTACGGGCCCTGACAACATTCCAGCAACAGTACTGAAGACTTGTGCTCCAGAACTTGCCGCTCTCTTAGCCAAGCTGTTCCAGTACAGTCATAACACTGTTATCTACCCGGCAATGTGGAAAATTTGTCCAAATATGTCCTGTACACAAAAAGCAGGGCAAATCCAACCCAGCCAATTACAGCCCCATCAGTCTCCTGTCGATCATCAGTAAAGTGATGAAAGGTGTCAGTAACAGCTCTATCAAGCAGCGCCTGCCCAGCAATAACCTGCTCAGTGACGCCCAGTTTGGGTTCCCCCAGGGCCTCTCAGCTCCTGGCCTCATTACAGCCTTGGTTCAAACATGGATAAAAGAGCTGAATTCCAGAGGTGAGGTGAGAGTGACAGCCCTTGATATCAAAGCTGCATTTGACGAAGTGTGGCATCAAGGAGTCCCAGAAAAATTGGTATCAGTTGGTATCGGGGGCAAACTCTCCGGTGGTTGGAGTCATACCTGACACATAGGAAGATGGTCGCGGCTGTTGGAAGTCAATCATCTCAGCCCCAGGACATCTCTGCAGGAGGTCCTCAGGGCAGTGTCCTCGGCCCAACCATCTTCAGCTGAGTGACCTTCCCTCCATCATTAGGTTGAAGGTAGGAATGTTCACCAATGATTTGCACAATGTTCAGCACCATTTGCGACTCTTCAGATACTGAAGCAGTCCGTGTTCGAATGCAACGAGATCTGGGCAATACCCAGGCTTGGGTTGACAAGTGGCAAGTAATATTCATGTCACACAAATTCCAGGCAATGATCATCTCCAATAAGAGACAATCTAACCTCTGCCCCTTGACATTCAATGGTGTTACCATCACTGAATCCCCCACTATCAACATCTTGAGGATTATCATCGACCAGAGACTCAACTAGACTCACCACATAAACACAGTGGCTACAAGAACAGGTCAGAGGCTAGGAATATTGTAGTGAGTAACTCATCTCTTCACTCCCCAAAGCTATTCACCGGGTACAAGGAAGGAGTGTGATGGAATACTCCCCACTTGCCTGGATGGGTGCAGCCCCAACAACACTCAAGAAGCTTGACACCATCCACGACAAAGCAGTCCGTTTGATTGGCATTACATCCACAAGCATCCATTCCCTCCACCACCGACGCTCAGTAGCAGGAGTGTGTACTATCTACAAGATGCACTGCAGAAATTCACCAAAATCTCAGACAGCACCTTCCAAACCCATGACCAGTTCCATCTAGAAAAACAAGGGCAGCAGATATATGGGAACACCACCCCCTGCAAGTTCCCCTCCAAGCCACTCTCCATCCTGACTTGGAAATATATTGCCGTTCCTTCACTGTAACTGGGTCAAAATTCTAGAAACCCCTCCCTCAGAGCATTGTGGGTCAACCCACAGCACAAGAACTGTAGTGCTCACCAACAACTTCTCAAGGGCAACTAGGGACAGGCAATAAATGCTGGGCCCAGCCAGCGACACCCATGCCCCATGAGTAAATAAAGAGAAAAGATCCTGTGGGGACTTGAGCAGAATTCGCAGGCACAGCTGAAAAATAAGGGGCTGCCTATTTAAAACTGAGATAGGGAAATATTTTTCTCTGAGGGTTGATATTCTTTGTAATTCCTTTCCTGAAAAGGCATTGGATAAATATTTTTAAGGCAGAGGGAAATAATTTTTTTAACCTATTTTTCTAATCAACTTGTTCAGAGATGTTATTACACACCTCTGAAGCCGGTGGCACTTGTACCCGGGCACATTGGTCCAGGACTAGGGACAATACCATTCCACCACATGAGGGCCCCCATAAAATATGGATCGCTTCATGAATTTGCATACCATCCTTGCACAGGGGCCGTGGCTCATCTTTTCTGTATCGTTCCAATTTCAGTATATGTGCTGCTGAAGATGATTTTGGAAGCTGTACAACAACAACTAACATCAGTTACTCAAGGACTTTATCCTTGAGACCTGCTAAAATAGAGTCATTACAAACTATAAACCACCCAAAAAAAAAACCCTCTGTACTGAATTCCCCTATGCTCCAAATTCCCAGAAACACACTCTCTGGCTGTGACTGACTCAGAACATGCTCTCTTCCAAATGGTCATGTGAAGCTTAACATCTACAAGGCACACGCCACTTGCCTGGATGGGTACAGCGCCAACAACACTCACAAAGTACCACCCCATGTACTACCTTCAACATTAACTCCCTTCACCATTGACACACAGAGGCAGTGAGTGTCTGCCATCTACAAGAGGTGCTCCTTGCTTTCAAATCCCTCCAACACGACTTGGAATTCCTTCACTGTCACAGTGCCACGTCCTGGAAATCCCTCACGAACTGTACAGTGGGTACACAGACACCAAACCCATTCCATTGCTCTAGCATCTCCCCACCACCTACTTGAGAACAATAAGGAATGAGCAACAACAACTGGTCTTGCCAGCAATGCCTAGATCCCACAAATGAACAAAAATGTGAAACACCTTAAGGCATTTTATAACTTTAAATGCACCTCTAGATTAGTGCAAATTGTTGTCTGCTATAAGAGCAGGAAATTCATAGAATGGTACAGCATAGGAACAGACCCTTCAGCCCACCATGTCTGTGTCAACCATGATGCCATTCTAAACAAATCCCATTAGCCTACGTATAGTCCATATCCTTCCATTCCCCATCTGTTCATGTATCTGTCTAAATGCCTCTTAAATGTTGCTAATGTATCTGCTTGTAATACCTCCCCTGGCAACGCATTCCTGGCATCTCCTACCATCTGTGTAAAAAACTTGTCTCACATATTTCCTTTAAACTTTCTCCCTCTCACCTTAAACCTATTCCCCCTATATTTCACATTTCCAGCCTGGGAAAAAGACTCTAACTATCCACCTTATCCATGCCTCTCATAATTTTATGTACTTTATCAGCTTACCCCTCAGCCTCCGATGGTTATAGTGAAAACAATCCAAGTTTTTCCAACCTTTCCTTCTAGCATATATACTCCAATCCAGACAATATCCTGTTAAACCTCTTTTGCACCCTCCCCAAAGCCTCCATATCCTTCCGTCTATTGTGGGGACTAGAACTGCACACAATATTCCAAATGTGGCCCAACTGAAGTTCTATACAACTTCATCAACACAGTGTGGAGCTGAAGGAACACTGCAGGTCGGGCAGCATCAGAGGAGTAGGAAAGTTAACATTTCAGGTCGGGAGCCTTCCTCAGAAAATCGACTTTTCTACTCCTCTGATGCTGCCTGGCCTGCTGTGTTCCTCCAGCTCCACTCTGTGTTGACTCTGACTCCAGCATCTGCAGTTCTTGCTATCTTCTATATAACTGCAACATGACTTGCCAATTTTTATACTCATTGCCCTGATTGATGAAGGCAAGCATGCCGTATGCCTTCTTTACCACCTTAACCACTTCCATTGCCACTTTCAGGGAGATATGGACCTTTCTAAAATTCATTTGTGGGATGTGGGGATCACTAACTGGGCCAACATTTATTGCCAGTCCCTACTTACCCTTGAGAAGGCAGTGGTGAGCTATCTTCTTGAAATGCTGCAGTTCACGTGGGACCTCAATGTCCCTCTGTACATCAATGCTCCTATGGGTCCTGCTATTTACTTATACATTCCTCCTGCCTCTGACCTCCCAAAATGCAACACCTCACAACTGTCTGGATTAAACTCCATCTGCTGTTTCTCTGCCCAGCTTTCCAACTGATTTATTTCCTGTATCCTTTGACAACATTCCTCACTATCCACAACTCCACCAGTTTTCATGTCGTCAGCAAACGTAGTAATCAGACCACCTACATTTTCATCCAAATCATTTATATATATATTAAAAATAACAGAGATCCCAGTACTGACCCTTGTGGAACACCACTGGTCACAGGCCACCAGTCAGAAAAACACCCCTCCACAACTGCCCTCTGTTTTCTATGACCAAGCTAATTTAATATCCAACCTGCCAACTCACCATGGATCCCATGTGACTTAATCTGGATTAGCCTACCATGGGAGACCTTGTCAAATGCTTTAGTGAGGTCCATGTAGACAACATCCACTGCTCTACCATCCTCAATCAACCTCATCACTTCCTCAAAAACCTCAATCACATTTGTGAGACATGATCTCCCCTACACAAAGCCATGATGACCATCCCTAATAATTCCATTCTTTTCCAAATGTGAGCAAATCCTGTCACTTCTCCATTAATTTCCCTACCACTGATGTAAGGCTCACTGACCCATAATTTCCTGGATTATCCCTATTTTAAACAAAAGAACAATGTTACCTATTCTCCAGTCTGCTGGGACCTCTAAAGAAGATACAAGGATCTCTGTCAAGGCCTCAGCAATCTCCTCCCTTGCCTCCCTCAAAATCCTTGAATAGATCCCATCAGGCCATGGGGTCTTATATACTTTAGTGTTTTTAAAGACACCCAACATCTCTTCCTTCTTGATATTAACGCGCCCCAGAATATCAACTTACCCGTCTCTAAAATTTACATTACCCATGCCCTTCTCCTTGGTGAATACTGATTGATGTACTCATTAAGTACCTAACCCACTTCCTCTGGCTCCACACATAAATTCCCTCCTTTATCCTTGAGTGGATCTACTCTTTCCCAAGCTACCTCTTGCTCCTTTTATATGTATAAAATGCATTGGGATTCTCCTTAATCCTACTTGCCAAGGACATTTCATGGCCCTGTTTAATCCTCCTAATTTCTTTTTGTAAATTGTTTTCAGCTTCCTTTATTCTCCTCAAGGGCTTTATTTGATTTCCATTTCCCAAACCTTAATACGCTTCTATTTTCATTTTGACTAAACTTTCAATACCTCTTGTCATCCATCCAAGGCTCCTGAATCTTGCTGTTCTTATCGTTCATCCTCACAGGAACACGCTGGTTCTGAATTCTAATCAAATGGCCTTTAAAAGAATCCAACATGTCGGATGTGGATTTACACTCAAACAGCCAACCCCAATCTAATTTCTCCAGTTCCTGCCTAATACTGTTGTAATTAGCCTTCCCCCAGTTTGGCATTTTCACCTGTCAACAAATCTTAACCTTATCCATAACTACATTAAAACTGACAGAATTATGATCGCTGTTCCCAAAATGCTCCCCCACTGAAACTTTGATCACCTGGCCAGGATCATTCTCCAATAGAAAGCCTAGTACAGACCCTTCCCTAGCTGGGACTAACTACATATTGTTTCAAGAAACTTTCCTGGATGCCCCTTACAAATTCTGCCCCATCTAAGCCCCTGGCATTAAGAGAGTACCAGTCAATATTCGGGACATTGAAATTACCTACTACAATGACCCCTGTTGCATTTACATCTTTCTATGGTCTGCTTACATATCTGTCCTCTATCTCCCACTGGCTATTGAGAGGCCTTTAATGCAACCCTATCATGGTGATTGCACCTTTCTTATTCCTGAATTCTACCCATAATGCCTTGCTAGATGAGCCCTCCAAGATGTTCTCTCTTACTACAGCTGTGACATTCTCCCTAATCAGTAATGGAACATTTTTACTTTTACATCCTTCTCTATCACGCCTGAAACATCTAAACCCTGGAACATTGAGCTGCACATCTCTTAATCAAGTTTCTGTAATGGCTACTACTTCATAGTCCCATGAACCCAGGCTCTAAACTCATCTGCCTTCTCTGATACATTCTTTTCACTGAAATAAATATGCTTCAGACCAACCCTCCCACTGTGTTCATTAACCTGGCCCTGCCTGCTAGTCTGGTTAGACTGACTTGATTTAATTTCCACCTTCTCCTCAATCACTCCATGTGCTGATTTACTGCTCTGGTTCCCACCCCCTGCCACGCTAGTTTAAACCTCCTGGATGTGACTAGCCACTCTCTGCTAGGATCCTGGTGCCCCTCCAGTTTAGGGGCAACCCATCCTTCTTGTACAGGTCCCTGCTGCCCTGGAAGAGATCCCAATGATGAAATGTTGGAAACACACACAAGTCTGGTCACTTCTGTGGAGAGAGGAATGAGAGCTAATGGTTAATGATCTTTCATGGCAAAAGGATGAGGTTCGCAGCGAGCAATGTTGAAGTCAGAACCACTGAAACAGACAGGGTGGATTCCACCAAGGAAAAAAAGTAAACAGATCAAAATAGATAAACCAAACGAACTGTCAAAGAGAAGAATAGAGCTATTTCTCCACATGTACGTTTGATAGAAAGCTGTCTCCTCTCCCCAAATTGATTAAACAGAGATAATCAAACTGACCATGTTTCTGATATTCTGGAGATGAAGCAGAAGCTCTAATGGAAATCTATGATTGTCTAAGATGAATAGACGCACATCTAGTGTGAACCTCTAAGAAGAATCATATTTAGAATTGAAATTGGAACTTCATAATGAATTAGAAAATGGCAGGTTATTTCTTTAAAATTACTTCCTTTATCATCTGTCTCAAATTCATTGAAAAGAGAAGTGAGAAACTCAGCCATTGGCCCGATACCTTGGGTCAGTCTATCTTTCGAGTACTTCTGCTATTTATTTTAAACAAAGAAGTCAAAAATTTCCTCTTACTTACTACACTCCTGGCAATGTTGTTTAAGGAAGAGGTTGAGGAAGAGCCTGTTTCCTGGCTCTCAGCTTTTGCAGCTTTAAACAGTTTCATCCCATTCTCTGTCAACTGTCTTCGAACCTTACTATTCACAACCTTGATGTCATAGAATCCATGCAGTACAGAAAGAGGCCATTCAGCCTTTCAGGTCTATGCCAACCCTCCAAAGAGCATACCACCAAGCCCCGTACCCCAACCCCATTTCCATAACTCTACATGTCTAGCCCACCTAGCCGACACATCCCTGAGCACTAAGGGCAATTTCTGGCTAATCTCTCAATCTATACACTCTGCAAA